TCTCCGGGACGAAACCCGTTGGGGCACGATAAGAGAACCCTCAGCCTTGCAATGCGCAAGATGCCTGATAACCCGAAGAATAAGGGACACTAGGGGTACTAGCCAATCATTCTCCCCAACCCAGTCGTAGCCAAAAAGCGTCGACACCTTGACAACCAGGGTTCCAATAGTGTGAATAGAACCTAGTAAGCTTGAAATTGTAGGAATTAGCAAACCTATCCACAGAGTGAGGGCCCCATATAGCCATATTAAGGAATTTAGTCAACAGCAGAAAGCTCTCTAGCGGTAGAATGACCAGTTTCCAAAATGGAGACAATGTCGGACAAAGCCCGCTTGATTTTCTTCCCTGGAACAAAACGTAAGCCCTGAAACAGATCAATAGCAAAGCCCAATCAATCATTGACAGGGATGGGGACCCAAAGATACTTCTCCGAATTTGGAACAAAGGCAGAGTGAACTAAATCCCCCTTTACTTTCGCGCTACTAACCGAGGCAGCCTGATATGAAGAACCCTCCCCTAACCCGTCGTCAAGATACACAACGATATGGATGCCCTGTCGCCTCCAGTGGGAAACGAGAGGTCTAACTATCTTAGTAAAGATACAAGGGGGTGAAGAAAGGCCAAAGGGAAGAATTCGGAAGAAAATATATCAAACTTTACCCTTGTAATACCAGGAAAACCCTAAAAAACACTGGTGAGGAGGGGAAATCTCAACATGACGGTAACCACTCTTGATATCAAATGAAAACATGAAATGACCTGCATCCAAAAAATTCAAAGCGACCTGAAAGTCTTCAAACTTAACTCTTTGCTTCCACAGGTGCTTGTTAATAAGCCGCAAATCTAAGATTAAACGCTTCTTGCCTGAGGAATGCACAGATACAGACAACGGATTCACATTATGCGGTATCGTGTCCGTTTCAAAAACACGATTGGTGAGTAACAACTCAGATATTGCTTCTTCGACGAAACCCGCATTGGCTAAGGCAGACTTATTGTTATCTGAGAAGCTTACAGAGGGTATGGAGTAAAAAGGAATACGATAGCCTGTAGCTATAACATCTAAAATATACGGACTGGCACCAATAGATTTCCAAAACTGAATGTGGGTCCTAAGTCTACTAGCTGCAATAATATTAGAGCTTAAACCCTGCTCATATTCATAGAAGTCGTGATTTACATTAAGTACTCAGGAGAAAAAATTAGAGACTTATCTCTGTTCGGTAAAAGCATGGAGCTTTCGACGTCCATTAAATTCGCTTGCTGGGCTGGCTAGCCGTGGGCTGAACACCACGAAAAGGCCACTGGCTACGAAAATGGCCAAACTTTCCATAGGCAAAACAGGATCCTCGCAGGGCGGACGAGCTGATAGGCCACGTAGTACTGGAGGTATTCTACGAGGCAGTGGTGGGAAATGTTAAATTTTTGAGAAAAAGGGCCAAGAGGATGGAAAACCGTAGGACTGCCGAGGGGAACCTTCTTCATAGGAACCTTCTTCATAGGAATCGGCGATTAAGATAAGCTTATTCCAATGAGCGAGCTTTTTCTCACCTTCTTTAAGTTCTTCAAGGGCCTTTTCAACTTGTGGTGGCGTAGATTGGAGGAATGAGGAGGCCAACTGAACCTCAAACTGCTTCTTCTAGCGAGGGATAATGGATAATTAATATCAGTTATCGCCAAAAGGTCGTGACCGGAGTCTTTGCTCAAAAATTCTGCCCAGCCGGCAAAATGAGATCTATTTGTGAATAATTGCTACGAAGCTTGAAACGGTTCCGCAAAGTGACTCAACGCGAAACGGATACCACCCCCTGTGAGAACCAATCGGATTGCAGGATTTATAGAATAGTGCTCGCTCACAAGCTGAGAAAACAAAATAATTTGTGTTACCGACCAACCGTCATGCCCAGGTGGCTGCAATTTTAAATATTGTGTGATCTAGAGAGCTCCTAAATTAGCCATAGTGAAATAAACGAAACAGATAAATGCATGCTAAAAAAATAGATAATGGAGTGGTTGAAGCTCTCTGGCCAATGACCACCTATAATCTAAAATCTACAGGATGATGAATTCAAATCTTGCTTGGAAATTCTGAATAAGTGGCCCTACGCGGAAAGCGGCTACTATTGGATGAATATTGGGAATAGAAATGCACAAGTCTACTGTGATATGAAAAAATATGGTATGTACAAAGGGACGAAATCGAAAGTAAAAAATCGATTATATTAATAACATTTGAATTTTGCCTCTGGTGAGATTGAAAGATTATACTTTCTGATACTGTGTTTTTCTTAGTGGCAGTGTTGCTGTAGTTGTAATTAAGGGTAATGCAGTGAGGTTGAATTATCATTTTTTCAGAAGATGGATAGCCTCTCAGTACCTTTTCAATCCCTCGTATCCGATGCACTTGGATGTTGAAAGGCAAATCCTAATAGTGTATGCTAGAAATGGGATAAATTGTTTCGTACATTTGGTCGAGGCCAATAGCAACCCGTCCCGGGAAATGATAAATTGAAGACATCAATTACATCATCATTACCACGGGGCTACATGAGCACTAATTTTACTACATCTTATCATTCGTCAGGTGGTGGATGGACCTTAGTTGTGAGTATCAGCTCACAGAATAACGATCACCTTCAAAGCGCACCCAATAACTGCCTCAACTCTTCGCTGTGTGTTCCCTTTACTGACCAGGGCCAGGGTAGAAAACTGAGCGACAGCGACATACACGAGCTAGCAAGGACAGAGGGTAAACATTAAAAAGAAAGACTACAATAATGATAATAAAGATAAGAATGGTAATAATAGTATTTCGTAGAGTGCGCCTTTGATCAATCTGCATTCTAGTTGACATTTTCTATTTAGTACTTCAATTTAATGTGCAGTATATCACTATTATTTGTAGTGTGTCAACACCCTCCTCCCCCCCCCCTCTTCCTCCCTCATTTAATGTTGCATTTTTGTAACTGAACAATAACGGTAATCACCAATCACCGGCAAGGTTGTAAAAGGTCAGTCTTGTGCTATTCGTAACTCGGGTTGGCGCTTTTGGAAACGCATCTAAGCTAGACCTTACTTAGTGAACAAAGTGATTAGTAAAACAGGCAGAAATACTTGGTATTGTCAGCGATCTGATTTATAAAGGCTTGTTCTAAATGACAAAATGTCTTCGCATTTAGAGGTTTATGAGAAAAATGTAACATATGATACACGATCCTCGCAGTAGATAGCGCTATTTAAGCAATAGCGGAAATCAGAACTGAAAAAAATCAGGCCGGTTCAAGTCCCGTACAGGCCTGAATTTTTTCAGGTCTGATTTTCGCTATTGCTTAAATAGCGCTATCTACTGCGAGGATCGTGTATCATGTGTATCTAATACCGCAGTACAAAATATATGAACTTCATATGTTTCATTGTATCTCAGAAAAATGTAAATAGAACATCTTTTTTGAGATCTTATTGCGCAAAACAGTTAACAGATTAATGCATGCAAAGGTTTTCTTTTTAAGGAGTTATTATCTAAATGAGTTTGTCAAATGGAGATGAGAAGGAGTAACTTGAAGTTGAAAACTAAATGACGATCTTAATTGCACTTTAGAGTGTATATATGCAGAAGGTCATTGATTTAACAAGGAGCCAAGTTATTCAGATTCGCAAAGGTTATTAAAAGTAATACGATGTTTCATGGGCAGCCAATGAAGTTCGCTGAGTAATGGCGTAATATAGCTTGATATGATCGCTCTTGCACCTATCTAAAATTAAGCGAGCTACACGATTCTGCATGAGCTGTAATTAGTATAAAAGGCAACGAGGTAGACTATATAATAAACATATCATATCAAACGTTTTGTTGAGTAGTATCGGTAAGTATTTGACCCGCCCGTAGGGCGAGTCAAAATACGAATAACGATTAAAAATACTCAACAATACGACACACCTAAAAAGTCTAATAATTCATTGATTATCCAACACACCAAATTGTTATTTCAGCACATTATTTCAATTGTCGTCTAACTACCTTTCTTTGCTCTATTTATCTAATCAACTAATTCAAATTGTCTACCTTTTTTTTTTTGTAACTTTAATTCAGTTCGTCCCTTACGCGATTCAAGACAACCTGTCTAACAGGAGTACGAATACCGTGTGATATTTGTATTTGTCTTGGGCGTAATTTATATTCTACGGAGTGTAGTTAGTTAATAAAGAATTATATTTGTCAAGTCTTGACGCAACAAAAGCATTAACTAAAATCTTCGCCGGCTCGGTCGATAAAAATTTTCTATGCGATGAATATTACATATATATATTAGACTAAAAAGACTGCAAATATCAATAATATGATGGCCAAAGTTCCGTGCACTATCAGATGTGACACTAATTTCTCTGGTGTACTTAGATGGACGGATCATGGATCTATCATCTACAACAGGTGGGAACTGCAAAGTAGGTCTAAATTGGGATCCAATAATTCAGTGGTTCACTTTTACAGCCGTTTAACTTCAATTAGTAAACGACATCTAGGAAGAAATGTCAAATAAACAGGCTTGGATGCGAGAAACCAACGACCAACAGTAGGTGGAAGAGTCGGAAAAAATCTAAATCCCCGAGTCATCTGCGTAAAAGTGATATTCCATTCCATGTTGACGTATTATGTCATCCATGCAGCTAGCAGCATACAACAGATACAGGAGCGGTCCTAGAAGAGGTCCCTGTGGAACACCAAAAGTGACCTCCGAAGAAGAGGAATCGAACCACTAATGCAGATTATGCAATAACAGAACAAAAGTACGTCGCTTGTCAACAGCCTTTAGTATATATGTCGTTGTGAACTTCAGGAATGGAAGATTCCGTGCTATGGTAGTGTTTATAGGATGATTGCAACGATTCACCAAGATTATTTTTAGTAATGAAATTAACAAGTTGAGCTGCTACCGCTTTTCGATTACCTTTAAAAGGAAGGAGTGACTTAACTGAAACAGGACGAAAGTTTTTGAAGTCGTCAGCATTCAGATGTGGCTTCTTTGCATGTGCAATAATCAGAGCAGTCTGAGTGTCACAGGTATAAGCGAAGTTTTCAGAAAGCAATTTACCAGATCAGTGATTACTGCCCATGGAAGAAGAACAGAAAGGTATCTTATAAGAACAGAGGCCGAAACAGTATCCAACGCACAAGACATAGCCTTGCAGGACTTGCATTAAGCACCGTGGCTATGCCCTGCGTTCAAACTCTTTCGAAGGATGTTAGTTCACATTGAAGCAGTGCAGATGGAATATCTGAACAGGTTTCATCAACAATAAATTGCGGTTATCCTTTTCCAATAAGACTAATCTTATTCTTAAAAAATGAATTGAACTGATCAGCTAAACCAGCATCAGATATTGGATGCATGATATTAAGGTTCAGAAGATTGTTGATGGCTTGAAAAAGAA